TTTTTTTTTCGGACGTCTTCAGGGCGCCGTCATGTGACAACAGGGATCACGTGACCTCCTCCATACCCCCTCCCTTCCCCAGCTTCTCAGTTCGTTTTTATTATTGTAGCGACTATTTCGACGTACATTTTCAAAACCATTTGAAATGTTATTTTGACGTCCGTGACGCCTCTTCCTAAAGACGTGAAACTATTTTCAAAATATATTTTGATGTCTCCTGTCAAATTTTCTCTCTCTTTTTATTTTGACATCTTGAACTTTGGAGCTTCGGAGTCAGAACTGGAAAGTGATCGAAAGTGGCGGTTAAACAAATATTTTGCTTGCATGCGGCCTCGCGGTTCAACACGCATTTTCAGAAAACAAATCTGCAATTAACTGTAGTTTTCATGACCATAAAAATAATAATAATAGCAATAATTTGCACGTAACTTTTCTTTTGGTTTTGCTCAACTGTACAGAATGCTGCACCGTTTCTTTTCCCGATTTATTTCTCGTGTTTCATATAGACAATAAAGGAGCGGAATGTCATGACATAAAATTTGATTGGAAAATGCGTCTATCTCGTACAACCGCGCCATACCCTTTGTTCGTAGGCACCAGTCAAAAAACATCAAGGAGACAATGTTTGCATTCACAACCTTTTTATTTAACATTCCGATCGTTTCGTAGTTAACCCGCTCGTTGTACACGAACCAAAAAAAAAAAAAAAAAGAGGAAATCTAAACAGGGAACTTAGGAAACACGGTTAAAAGTAAGGCGGGAGTCAAATCAAAGGCGCGTTTGCACGATATAGAGGCACGAAAAGCGTGCCAAATGTATCATTGTTACATAGTGCACGCTCTTACATTTGTTACGTGCATGCAATACAAAGGGATATCCAGCTCGCCTCTGTTGTAGATTCAAAAGTTTAAAGGGTCGACGTGCTACAACCTCGGTTTTCTCAGCGCTCCCCCTTTCCCAAGGTGCGAGGAGAGCCAAGTTGGGACAAGGTGAAAAGTGGAGAGGATGAGACGCGTGTCGAAGTCAGTGTTGGGAAGTACTTTAAGTACATTGTACTTAAAGTACTACTTCAAGTAGGTTTAGGAAACTTGTACTTTACTTGAAGTACATTTTCTGAGTACGTACTTGTACTTTACCTAAAGTATTTTTTTTTTCTGGTACTTTCTTAGGAAAGTAGAATTCCCGACTTCAAAGTACATTCCCCAAGTTTGGTTTTGTTAATTTTGCATCACGAAATGATGCTTTGTCAACTCCGAAGAAATACTGGGAGGGATATTCTACCCTCACCAGAAAAGTGAGCAGACGACGCACTGCTCCGTTTGTTCTGGGAGCGGCTTTCCCGTAGGTTTTTGAACTCTTGCTACTTCTCAGTCGGTCAGCGCAAGCGGGAAGGTTTAAAATATTAGGAGAGCAAAATTAATCACTATATCTAGCACCTGAGACCGTGGTGCGGATAAATTAAAATTTCAAGTCGAAGTAAAAGAGAACGGAGGAGAACGTCACAATGTTTTGAGACATTCTCTTTTGTCTTTTCCTTCGACTTGAAAGTTCCTTAATTTTTTCGCACCACAATCTCTCTTAGTACATTTAACCCCCTTGGGTGCAACAATCCAGTGTAAGCGACGCAAAATTCAGAAGAGGGACTTCTGAATTTGGCTCCATTCCTGAAAATAACTACACTGTGGCCACTTGACCCTATGAAATATTCGCCGCTGTTTATGAAAATAGACAGGTCATGCACTTGGGCAATGCATACCAGTTAAAAAATCACTGTACAAGCGAATGAAAGGGCATTGTGAGGGATTTTGTTAAAATGCTTGTACTTTACTTGAAAGTACATTGTATTTATAATACTTTACTTCAAGTACATCGCAACCAGTGTACTTGCTATTTTACTCGAAGTACATCACGTCTCATTTACTTCGTACTTTACTTGAAGTACCTTTTAGGCGTACTTTACCCAACACTGGCCGAAGTGACGTGCGAGCTCAGAACATCGCCGCCGAGCGTGTCACGTCCGAAAGGATCACCTGTCTAGCCAGTGTTAAAGATATTTCCACTGCCAAACTAGGACCGAAATTTAAAACCGTTTGTCGAATGTGTATTTCACAGAGCCGGTTGTATCTTGTAAAATTATAAAACGTATCTCCCTTTTTGTAAAAAGTAGGACCAGAAACTTTCCAGTGTCAACGGCGGACGTCGACGCAGACGGCCGAGTTGTGTGGCGGGCGGGTTTGGCGCACGTATCGATAGATGGCGCTAGGGAGCCAGAGTTGCGCGTTCATCCCCGTAGCGCCGTCTTTCCTGCATGGCATGTAGAGCCTGCTCCTCACGTGACTGGATTCGGCGAATAGCGGCGCCGCGCGTTCAAGGCGCGCGGCTTGTGCGCGACAAACACGCCAGGTGCTCATTCACTATTGGCCCTCTCTTCCCCCCCCCACCTTATTCACAACGCTTACACCTTTTGCTTTGGCAATAAATGTTTTACCACCACCACCACCACCACACGCGGCGCGCTCAAAAGCAGGGGAATATACACCGGGGCGCGAGCAACGTCTACTTTCCTGCACGGCATTTGAGTCTGCTCCTCGACCTCACGTGATCGGATCTCGGCGAATAGCAGCGCGACAGCACGTGGAAAACAGACACGCAACTCTGGCCGAGACCGAGATACTTTAATTGAGACATCGAGACCAGCTCGCGACGACCATGGTCTATTAAAATTAACATTGTATTTAAGCTTAAAAATAAATGCGAACAATAAAAACAGGACTTAAAAAAAACGCGGTTGCATAACGAAGGCGCTTTTGCTGCCAACGGATTTCGTCTACGTGTCGTCTACACCTTCCGACGCTGCTCGCCACGCCTTCTATAAATTTGTGCGCCAAATGCGCCCCGCCACTCGACTCGGTTGTCTGCGTCGCCATCCGCCGTTGACCATTTCAAGTTTTTAGGGCCCGCTTTTTATAGAAAGGGAACTACGTTTTGTAATTTTACAACATGAAACCGACCTGTGAAATACACCTTTGACGAAAAATTTAGGTCGCTACGTGCAGGCGCCGAGTCTTCTGGCCTAATTTAGATCGAACCTAGTTATTTCAGACACTTTATATATAGCCAGAGTTTAAATTTGAAAATTTTACTGTAGTGTAGGTATGAACATTCACAAAGCGCGCGTGTGCGCCACCCCGCTTCTAAAGTGGGCTTCCTTCCTAAGCACGCTGCTTCAATATTTGGACTTTTGGAAGTTTTGACTGCGGCGGGCTAGCCTCGTTGAACGCGCTTCTTACCAAACACGGCTGCACTGCGGAGAAGCAACACCCGCGGAAGCTATTCGCTACGGGTGTTGCTTCTCCACAATGCGCCCATGCTCGGTAAGAAGCGCCCTCAACGGGGCTAACCCGCCGCAATTAACACTTCGAAAAATACGAATTCATCTCGAAGCAAATATCGAAAAGCATATTATTCGATATACTATTCGAAAATTCGAATATTCGCACAGCATTAGCATCGTCGACTGAAAGGAGTCTGGCATTTCGCAACTGTATCGGTTGGTTCGTCGTTTTGGAGGGAAATTTTTTGAACTCCCTAAAGATGTGCTGCACCAATATTGGCTAAATAAGGTGTTGACTAAAATGTACGTGCAAATGCCGTTTGTTTTAGAGTTTTGCTTAAGAAGTGTTGCTGTCGGTTGGAGGCTCCAGCACGCAGCGCGTGTAATTACACTCGCAACATGCATATTACTTCGTGAATTCAATTCAATTACAGTTTAAACTACTTTGCTCCAAAAGTAGTTAATTTCAGTTTGAATTACTAGTGCAGAGAAAGAATGCACTACCCTTCGAAAGCAATGCCAGTACTTCGTAATTACCTTTCTTTGAGAGCTAGCCAACTTCACGGATGTATTTTTGGCCTCGAATTCTGAGTGTGATCCAAGGTTTGATTATTTTGCGCGACGCGCTCAAGATTAATCTCTTAATCGCGGCAGTTCAAAGCTTCCTGAAAATGGCCCGAAGATAAGCTAATTTTGGTTCTTTCTCTACGTATTAAAAGGTCGTTTTTTTTTTTTTTTTTTTTTTTTTTTTTTTTGTGGCGGACATTTCTCGTCGTTTTTGCGGATACTTCGAGGCGCTGTGCGCCCGCGTTCGGCGCCGCGCCTTGGCCACCGTGGCCCGGACCCAGTCGCGACCCCCGGTGCAAACCCAGGGGCCGGGACCTCTCCACCGCACGCGGGCGAAAACCGCCGAGTCACTGGGCAGTGGTCGCACACTAAAAGAGGGCTCTGCGCATGCCGAGAACGCCCAGAGACAAAGGTGGCAGCGCTCAGAAGCCGATTAGCAGCGAGATAAAATTGACAAAATCATAATGTTGTTTGGGACAAAATGACGAAGAAGGTTTGTAATTACGTCAGACTAATAAAAAAAAAAGCTAAAACACTTCTTAAAAAAAAAAAAGAGTTACAGGTGACTTTTGACCTATTTTATCTTGTAAATAATCTGAATATCACGTTCTTTTTCTCCGAATATGTAACTAAACGCGGGAAAACACGAAAAACCTTCGATCAGTCGTGACGTCATACTAGGATCTTTGGGCCGCCAAGTGCGTGTCGCTCGCGTGGGCAGCGTGTGCTGTACTTTGAAAATTAATTTCTGCAGCCTTCGTGCATTACATTGAAAAATAGTCGCGATATCCGTGATCCCGGAGGCCAAATTAAGACGATATGGGTGTTTTTCCTCAAATACAGAACCGCTTCAGTTTCCCTTTAATAAGCATGCTAGGTGCGTGGCCGGAATCGGCCTTATATTTCAAATCCAACGATCAAAACCCGTGCGTGATCTTCCTTCGCTGTGCCAGTGTGTGCGAATCGCCACGTGGCTCTACTTGTACAAAAATAATGTCGTTCGTTTTTGATAGTGTTGATAGAGTGTCGTGTTTCAATCTGGCGGCGCAGCGTACAGGTGGTCGGCCAGTGTGGCGACGGGCGCCTCGTTTTCCCGCAGGTGGCGCGGCCAGCGCGGCCGTCTGGTCACGTGAGTCTCTACCCGTGGAGTGGCACCCGGCTTGGTTCCAGCACTGACACTGTGCGCTCTGCGTCGGCCGTCGGGTGTCCAAGATGTACCACCTCCTGGAAGAAATCCGGGATTTTTACAACAAAACGCTCGAGAGCGGAGGTAAGCGCCCGGGGAGAGCTTTTTCATTCATTCTCGTACGCGCCCGGCCAACGCCTGCCGCCTAGGCCTAATGCCGGTTCGGCCGCCCGTACGCACGACCGCCGGCCTTTTCGGGGCCCGGGCCCCCGCCTCGCCGCGGTCCCGACCGCAACGCGCGATTCGGGGGCGTTCGTCGAGCACGCGGGGCGGAGGGCGGGGTCCGTGCTCGCTCGGCGGTCACCCCTCCCCGCCATCGCTTTTGGCCCGTGGCTCCGCCACACGCCCCCGAGTCTCGCGAGGTTGTCCCCCCGGAGCGGTCGGGGTGGCCCGCTGGCCCCCAGCGGGGCCCCGGTCGATGAGCGTCCGTGACCTCTTTCCACGCCTCCGAAGGGTTCCGGCCCGAAACGTCCGGCAGCAATGCCCCCGCGCCCTTCGCACGTGGGCTCGGGCCGGCCTCGCGAAGCTTTCCCCGACGCGTCTCGGCAACGGAATGCACCCGACGACGCTGCGAGACGCTGCCGAAACCGCACGGTTGGCCGCCCTTCTGAATCTGGCGCAGAAAAAAAAAAGCTCGCACCCTTCTGTTCGTGCTCCGGGGCAAAAGCCGACCGACCGAGGAGCTCGGTTTGCACGGGCCCGAGCGTGTGGAGACCACGCTCGTGTGGGGTCCAAGCGGTACTGGTCGGAGTAGACGCCAAGATCCGATAGGTCAAATCGAGCAGCTCAATCAAGTGCTATGTCGCAGCTTCCCTTGTCTTTCGCTGCGGGCCCCGACTAAACCAGTGTAGCTCACTGAATACGTCATGACCTTCCGCTTTTGAAATGTGCCTTTGAGTGCGCTCTGGCCGGTCTTGATGTCGCTGGCCTGCCCAAAGACGGGGCTTGGGTCGCCGGCATGCTACGAGCGCTTGACGGTTTCGACGAGGCTTGATGCAAGCTCGGGCCTGAGATTATAATGAAGTTTCCCCAATCTTGGCGAGGGGTGGCTGTTAGGCAGCCTAGCTTGCCGACCGTTTCCTGTTAGAAAGCCTAGCTAATCGAAAACAATCGGTAAAATAGGCTGCCAAAAAAATGGTGCTTCGCTTGGGGGACACTTTAATATAATCTCGGGTGTGAGCTTGCACCAAGCCTCGTCGGAAGCGCCAAACGCTCAGCATGCCGGCAGCACAGGCCCGTCTGTGGATGAGGCCTTAAAACAGTCGGGCGACGTTGATAGCCACCGACCTATGGCGACACGAAGCGTGGCAGACTCACCAATGGAGTGTTGGAACGACCTCTGGGAGAGAGGCCACCCCATGTTCCGGCAACGGATGACCGACTGCAGTGCTCATACTTCTCGGCGGTCGGGATTTGCATGCCTCCAAACTCTCACATTGTGCGTGCCTTGCACAAGGCGTTACGTCTTGCTGCTGGTCGTAGCTCTTCTTGCCCAGGACAGATTTAGTTGTGTCAAGTGAACGCTGCTCCAAACTATGCACCACAATGGGAGCCGAAGGGTATCCCTGCAAGCCACGCATGGTCAATCTTCTTTGTTAAAGGGGTCATGAAACACTTTTCCAACTTTTTCCTGTTTAGCTTTCCTCGTCAACTCATAAATCGTGCATTCTACCAAACAATTCACGAAGACTGAAAGTGGGGAGTCCCCTCTTGCTCGGTCTCTCGTTTGTGTAGCCAGACACAACCATTCTCCCCCTAGAAGATTAGCCCGTTGCTCAAAATTCAGACAAAAGTTGCTTTCCCCACCCTGTTCAACCCGAAGCTGACAGTGCTGTGGAAGCTATGTGCTAGTTGGGCCAGCCACACTTTTCGCCACGTGATCACGCTCTCTCGCGCATACCCACGTGCAGAGAATGAGGTCAGGTGATGAAAGGGAGGCGGCTGATTGGTCCGGCAAGCGTGTAGCTTCCAGCACAATGTCGGCTTAGAGGTGAAGGGAATAAGTGAGGTCCGGTGTTGTGCGACATGCGTTTAGAGCCGGGACGCGCTTTGGGGACTGTGGATGTATCACAGTGAAAAGGCAGAGAGCATATGAAGGGAAGGAGGTACAAAATAGTCCGCTGTGTTTTCAAATTTTCGTACCGAAAGTCGGGCTATTGACTTTCTACCTTTTTTCTTTTGGCCCACTGAACACTGTGCTATTAGTAAAACCGCAATCTAAATTGATTTATCCCAGCTAGGGATGCCGCAAGCCACCCCAGGTTTGAATTCGAAAGGCTTCAATATTTTCGCACCGAACTCATGTTCGATTTCGAAAAGTCTCGATATTTTCGACCGTAGGGAGACTCGAATTCGAAAAATTCGCAACTTTCCAAAATCGTGGGGTTTCGAATTCAAAAAGTTTGAAGCTTTCACGGTTTCGAAAAGTTAGAGTTTGATTATTTAGAATATTTCGAACTTCCCTAATTTTAAATTCGAATGTTTTGAATTTCTTTGGATCTAAAATTCGAACGTTTCGAATTTTTAAACTGCTCCCCTACCCACATGCATGCTGGTAGTAATCCGATCGAACGCCGCCCGAGTGACGCTGGCATATAGTAAGTTTAGTTTGTACATAATGCAAGATCCTGAGATGGAATGAAATTTGAAAGAAAAAGTGTAAGAAGACAGAAAAAAGGGGACAGGACAACATCTCAAACTCAACTCGGCTGAAAACTCGGCTCAGGACAACGTCTCAAACTCAACTCGGCTGAAAACTCAGCTCAGGACAAGGTCTCAAACTCAACTCAGCTGAGTTTGAGACGTTGTCCTGTCTCGTTTTTCTTTCTTCTTACACTACTTCTTGCGAATTTCATTCCCAGTCTCGGGATTTTGCATCATGATCAACATACACTAGCTCGCCTGCACCTTGACAATTTTTTTGTTTGTAATTGCTTTGGCGGTTTATTTTCTGGGGCGGAAGAAACGCCGAGCAAAAAGCACAGAAGCTGACGCAACTTGAGGTCCAGGAGCGTTCTACCATACCAGTGGCATCGGAAGAGGAAAAACGGGGGGGGGGGGGGGGGGGGGGGTGAGCTCCAGTCTCTCTCCCCCCCCCCCCCCCCCCTCGCAGATATTTCGGACTGTTAAAGAAAACAATACGGGGAAAGAGGGCATGGTCGAACTATTAATCTGAAATTATTTATGCATATGTATAGCTACTGTCACTCTTCACTGCATAAAATATAGCGTAGATAATCATTGTTAAGGCCAGTTCTCACATGCAGCAAAACGCTGATGTAATGCTGCTCACTTGCCATCAGGTACTTATCGTATGCCATGAGCAACAGTTTTGACGGTGCGATACAAAGCTGGTGAACGCTCCCGTCGGCACATGCTTAGCACGAGGTCAGCGCTATGCTTGTTGCACTCCGCTGCGTGTGTGAACAGGCCTTTAGAAACTCGTTGTCAGGAGGCACTACTCGTCACATGCTCGGTGGCTCGAAAGTTCAAAGCTACGTCTTTTCGATCTAAATAACTGTGCCGTTGGTAAAAAATAATCAATAAATAAATATAACAATAAATGCAAAAATAAAAAGCTGGAGAGAAAAAAAAACTATCAAGAACCCGCTGGAAGTGTTGTATTCTTGCATATTCAGAGGCCCAGAACTATGAAACAAGTTTCTCCTAGCAAAATGTGTACAGGCCAAAGGAAACACGTCCCAAAAGCGTAAAATGAGAAAAAAAAAAAAAAATTTATGACGCGTTGAACTTTAACAATTTTAGAAATCTTCCCCCATGTGTTAATTTATTCCTCAACGTAAAAAAACAATCAATACATTATTTTGTATTCTGCAGATGGTAATGATATGTACTGTCTCTGGTGTTAATTTAAATGAGATACCCAAACAGTGTAGGCGAAAAAAATTACCAAGTTTAGGGCATAATTGTCCGTAGGTACATGTTGGGATATTTATTCGAAACTGGTCTTGAACAATAATCATATCTTAAGACGACGCTCACCTAGGCTATATATAGATCATTCTTAAAAAGTTTGACATCTCTACCATAAATAGCTTCGGCATATAGCGCGCTTCAAATATGGCACAAACGTCAATTGTCAAAAACCCGTCGTCCTCCCTCGCTCCTTCGGGAATCTATTTTTCTAAAACCAAGCATGCCAGACTATTGAAATAAACGGCATTGTCTTTCGCAAGGAATGCATCACCCCATGTAAAATTGCGAAAAAAAAAATTATGAATGTACCTCCCTGCTTGAATCCAAATGAAACCGCCTGCCAGTCTTTCGAAGTTCGACGAGCTTCGACCTTTTACCCTAAAAGTTCGAAGTTCGTCGAACTTTTGACTTTTCAGGTATCGAGAGTTCGACAATATTCGATTTCTTTAGATTAATAAGTTTGAAAATTATCAAATTTCTCAGCGTAGGAAGTTTGAAAAGCTCAGATTTTTTTAGTGCAAGAAGTTTGAAAGTTCGAAAATCATTGAATTTTTAGTCTCAAGTTCGAAAGTTCGACAAGCATCTAATTTTGCAGCGTAATAAGTTCAAAAATTCGAAAAGCGCCGAACTTCTTAGTTTAACAAGTTAGAAAATTCGACTTCCGTCGAATGTCTCAATATGGAAAGTTCGAAAACTCGAAATCTTTCGAACCGCATGATTCGATCATCGAGATTCGAAAAAAGTTTGCGGCATCCCTAATCCCAGTCCAAAATTCGTTTCACGGGCCCTTTAAGGTGGCTGCCTTGTTAATTAGTATGCTATTGGGCATCCAGGGAGCAAACGGGGCCTGCTGCACTTGGACATTCGGTCGTTGGCTAGACCACTGCCGTAGCACCTATCCTGGTGGCTGTACTCTTCCTCGTTGCGATACAATGCTTGCACTGCCTTGAGAATAGCGCTTCCTCGAAGCAGGTTTTTCATTTATTTGAGTTAACCTGCAGTGCCCAACGGGCATTATTGTGACAATCTGACAGAGGTATCGACATACAAATCTATGCAAATATGTGCAGGAATATATCTACAAATATATGAGCATAAATATGTAAACTTGACTATCGAGGAAACATATCTTAACTTAGGAACAAAAGCACTAATGACGTTTGTTTAACAAAGATTGAAGAAAAGAGTATTCAGAATGCTTTGATACAATATTGGTGGGTAGCCGATGCCATTCTCCAATGTATGTGGAAATGAAAAAAGTAGAGTATTTGAAAGCATCAGTTTTTGCGAGCGTTGTCTATGCTTCGTGAAATAAAATATTGCGGTTACGAATATATACTTCTTTCCATTCTTGTATGTTATGCATTAGCCTTGACTGAAGACATGTCTACGAAAATATAGTGGCTTAAATTGTTCATTTCTGATGGTACTGATGTTTTTATTGTACCCCTACTCTAGAAACGAATCTTGCAGCTTTGTTTTGCACTGTTTTAGTTTGATCGATATGCGCACAAAAAGAATCCTAAATTGCACAAAAATATTTTTTTTGGTCATTACTGTGATTGTTTTTTTTTTTTTTAATATTTTCTATTAGCTTTAGATGTAATCTGCTCAATGTGTGCTTTCCAGGTAAGGTGTAGAGAGAAAAATGTGCCAAAAATACTGGGCTGCTAGTGCTTGAGCCTGCCACGGTCATTCGTTTGGCGGCCTACTTTTCGGCTTTATGAAGAGTGCCGAGCTGATGTCTGTGAAGAGATTTCCAAAGGTACCATGTGACCTTGCAGCATCTCCACAGAGATTTTAGCACACTGAAAGTGGGATCCTTGGATCCTAGAAAGAGCAGTACTTTGCAGACTTTGGTGGGCAGCACATTTTTACGAGTTGTAGAGAGGCTTCACCAGATTCTTCCTCTGTATGGGTGGAGGAACAGTTGGGGCTATGCCTTTTGAATCTGGCTTTCACCATCTATCCTAGAAAGTTTTACAGCCCTCTAAATTTTAGAGAAGATTCGGTTTCTCAATTTGTCCAACTCGTCCTTTTTGCGTAATGTCATAGTTCCCAGACCTCTTCTGCTAACCACCGCCACATTGTTATTCTAATCCCTTTGTCCTCCATCCTTCCATTGACTGCTCCCGCGAAATCTGTTACTTCTTCGGGGAAGATGGGACCAGACCTCGTGTGCTTTATAACTGCCTATTCTATTGTCTCGTTCTTCACTTGGCATATTGCACTTAATTTGTTCATTTCCTGATATTTAAGCTCAGTATGTCTTCGTCCCTATTGCTCCTGTTCTAGCTTTCAAGAACAGTAATAAGCTTCCTCATTGGTGATCCAACACCTGTCCCTTCCTTGCGTCTCGTTTTGGTGACCTGCACGTTGGTAAAGCCGATTTCCCTCGTATTCTTTCCTTCACATTTTGCTTTCTTTCACTTGGTTTTCTACCCGGGTAGTCCGCTTGTCTCTGTTCTCTTGGTACTTCGGTTTGTTCCTTTTGTGTTCACTTTTAGCGTTGAAATGCTCTCTTCCCTGCCCACCATGTACCGTTTGTTTTGGTCGGCCCTTGTTCAGTCTAGCCTAGCTCTCGACCTTCGAGGGATATCCCACCTTTGTACCGCTTGGTTTGGTATGCTCCCAGTGCCCTCTGCCAGATGTCTAAGCTTGACAGAAATATGGACTTGGTGCTCGGTACACCACATTCCCAAATGAGTGCCAGCACCCTCGTCGTACCTGCCATTCGGCTTGCCACGAGGTTAGTGCAGTTGTGGACAGTGCGCGAGAGGTACCGATGGCAAGCTTATAAAAAGCCTCAGGAATGCGCTGTTCAGGAGGTTCTTCTCCGTAGCTCAAAGGTGCGACACAGACAGCTGATTGGAAGCAGATTTCCGGGAACTTTGAGTTGCGGCACTCGATTGGTTGATACTTGGAGTGGTCTGTGGAATGGGCACCGAGAAGCAGCTTTCCACAGATAGTCCAGGTAAACTGCCTGCCTGCCTTCGAACAATGAGTCAGTGGGAGGAAGGGCAAAGTGTCTACAGAAGCCGTGATTGAGTCACCGGGAGGAAGGGCAAAGGGTCTACAGAAGCCGTGATTGGTGATGCCCTCTTCCCCCATGCAGATGCCCGGGTCCAGGAGTGGCTGTTCATGCAGAGCCCATGGCCGACCCTGACCATCTGCCTGTCGTACGCCTACCTGGTGAAGGTGCTAGGGCCCTCGCTGATGAAGAACCGGGAGCCGATGCAGCTGCGCTGGATCATGGTGGGATACAACTTCTTCATGGTGGCCATCAGCCTGGTCATCTTCCTGCTGCTGGGCTTCTACGGCTGGTTTGGACACTACAACTGGAAGTGCCAACCCGTGGACTACACGGAGAGTAGCGAGGCCATCCTCATGACCCATCTGTCCTGGTGGTATTACATCTCCAAGTTCGTCGAGTTTGTCGACACGGTGAGTGGGAGCCAAAGGCCCCCGGCGGGACCTGACCCCTGGCTCTTCCTTCCCAGATATTCTTTGTGCTGCGCAAGAAGTTCACTCACATCTCTACACTGCACGTCATCCACCACGGCATGATGCCCATGAGCGTCTGGTGGGGGGTCAAGTTCACGCCCGGTGAGTGGCGGCTGGCCGGCCCGCCCTGCGGCCTCTGAGCCCTGTGTTTCTCCCTGCAGGAGGCCACAGCACCTTCTTCGCCTTCGTCAATAGCTTCGTGCACATCCTGATGTACTTCTACTACGGCCTGGCGGCCATCGGGCCCAACATGGCCAAGTACCTCTGGTGGAAGCAGCACATGACCACCATCCAGATGGTGAGTCCGTAGTGTGTCCCCCGCGCCCCGGCCAAGCTCACCCCTTCCCCTGCAGGTGCAGTTCATCGCCATCTTCGTGCACTCCTTCCAACTGCTGTTCCGGCCGGACTGCAACTACCCGCGGGGCTTCATGTGGTGGATTGGCTTCCACGCCATCATGTTCTGGTTCCTCTTCTGGGACTTCTACAAGAACACCTACTTTGCCAAGCGCCTCAAGGGGGCCGCCCTGGGACGCTCTGCCACTGCCAATGGCCGGGCGGCCAGCAACGGTACGGCCAACGGCACCAACGGTTACCTGAAGCACGCCTCCAACGGCCGCAACGGCGGCTTCCTGGACGGCTACTGCCAGCTGAGCGGCCTGCAAGACTGGGAGGACCAGAAGCGCGACTGAGGTCCCACAGACTGCCCCCCAGGGGGCCTCCTCTGCACGGCCCATCGGGGCCCCACACACGGCCGGGACCACGGGCCTCCCGGGCCGTGTAGGCTGCTCTAGCACTAATTTTATACGCGCACGGTTAGCCCGACCGGCGAGGACGACGGCGACGGCACGACCACCGGCGACGCGGGGGACGTGCGTGTGCGTGTGCGAGTGTTTTTTTTTTTTTTTTCTTCTAGGTTTGTTTGTTTTGTTTTTTTGCAAATGACTAGTTTTGTACACAGTGTATAAAACGCAAAGGTTTACAGTGACTGTTCCTCCGGGTGCGTGAGTGCTGTGGCGGCCCGCGACGAAGAGTATGTGGTGTGTGCCGCTCCGGAGGTGGGGGAGGCAATGCCCCGAGCGGGAGGCCCTCGAAAAGCGCCTCCGCACACGTGCCGGTGTCTGCCGGTGTTGCCCAACGCGGGGACCAAGCGGCACCTCCGCGGCTTCTTTTGCTCCCGGAGGCCTCCGACGGATGCGAGTGGACGACCGGCGGAAGTTCCCTGGCCTCGTGGATGCAGCTTGGACTTCGGGTGGGGAATGTGCTCCCGCTCGCGTGCCCCTCGGTCCGGAGGAGTGGGGAGAGCGGGGCTACCCGCTCGTTTCAATAAAAAAAAGGTTGGAACAAAACTGTCTTGCCGTGCTGGAAGCTGTCGGTGTGCTTGGTTAAATGATATTCGTTTTTTACTCGAAAAAATGGTGCTTCTGGTTCGGCTCAACTGGCCTGCATCGTTCGTCTGTGCTTAACGCGTTTCACCGATTGTCGAGCGAGATTCGAAGTTGTTGCGTTCAGTGCCACCAGTATTTTTAGGGCTATCAAAAGCCTGGCTTTCATAGTTTAGAATTGGGAAAAAAGGATGCTGCGAAAGCTGCGGAAAATGTGCTCCCCGGTAGGTGGAAACTGTCACTGCGGAACAGTTTTTATTTCATTGGAATCCAATGCAATCCATGTCCTTCCCCCGACCCGTGTTGTACTCTCATTCTAAAGTCTCGGAAGCACTCTGCACTGTACGCAGGGGGGAAGAACCTGCAAGGTTTCCTACTTTTGCAAGATTTCCAGGAGCGTGTGCATTGCTCTAGCTTTTACAGTTTTTGTTGCCAACGATGTGCCACTCGAATTCCACATTTTGAATTTTGGCGAGACATTCTTTCCTGCTTTAAAAAGGAACCATTAATTCCGGGCTGTCAAACACTTTAGAAATGTCAGGATTGCGTGCATGCAGTTCCAGAGAGGGAGACAGGCTTCTGCTAAGCGGAGTAAATGTATAGGCTTTGCTTGCAGAACCAGAGTATAGCATTCCTTTTCCTTCTGCCACCAACTCCGCATTGGCAGAGAAGTAGTCACGTGCGCCGAACTGGAGCTAACCTTCACGAGGGAAGACTATTTTGCAGATGCCTAGTTTTGGGCAGAGCAGGTTTCTGGCTTAGAGTTTGCAAAAAATACATCCTACACTAAAAGCAAACAAACTTGAAGGTTCCTTGACCATTGCAGATTATGTATAACCACTGGGTACAGTATAATCAGTTTTATAACGAGCGATTTTTTCAAACATGTTTAGAGAGTCTGGAAAGCGGACAACACAGGACGATTTGGCTCGCATCTGCGGCGCTTGTGGAGTCATGCGCGATCGGCACATCTGGGCACCTCCAACCAGAAAACGATGCGTAGCTGCACCTTTCAAGGGGATGTTGGTTTCGTTGGCTGCTATATTCTACCGATGGCATGGAAAAAAACGACAAATGACAATGCGTCGGCGTGTCGCTGCATTGTATTTTGTCTGCTCCGCATGTGACAGTACGCTACCTCACAGCCACGTCATTCGTGCCTCCAAATCTCCTGGAGAACCGACGGTCGCTTCCCGCAGTGCGGCCTTGGATGCAACATGGCCGCCCTGGGACCATTGTTGCCATACCCTGCTCCGCAAGCAGAGCATATGCAGTCGCTGCACCGCTAAGCACGGCAGTTGTGATACCAACTGGCTGGAATGAGATTTTACATTTCACATGTAGCTGCCAAGTCCAATAGTTCCAATTTATGCGGGCTGTGCACACAGGGTATGTGTAAACTTGTGTGTGGCCTGAAGTAGAGGAAGATCCATTGATGGATTCTTTGGGAATGCGTCGGCATGACCGTTCGAAAGCACCACACGCCCCCTTTAGACCCCTTCACTTTTCGGTTTTGACTTTCTCTTTTTGCTTCCTCCATTATTTGCTGCCCCTTTTTGGCTTCGTTACGGGGTCAATGCTAGTGTTTCCCAGGGACCATGGTAACACATTCGCTAATAAATCTTCAATTTTCTGTTGCCGTCTAGAATGTTTACATCGTGCCTGAACAGGTAGAAGAGGAGTACACACGAAGTTGTACTCCTCTTTCACGCTCGGAGATGCTCTTTGTCTAGCTCGGCTGGCCGCATTTCAGCCAGCCAAGCTAGACGCTGCTTCCGTTCCTCTGTAGCGTTCGCCTGCCTTGCACGCTTTGGAGCGGCATACGCTGCTTTCGCTGTTCACCGGTTTTGGCAGCCCGTCTCCCTTGTTCACAATCCGTCTCCTTTCGCCGCCTACTTGGACCAGCACTAGTACTTGGTTCACACCCCATTTTGTAGCGCATACCGATAGAAGACATTTAGGATATAAGCGTAACCGTCGCACAGTCTCGTTTTGTCACCCCTTTATTTTTTTATTTGCAGGTTGAAACGTTATATTATTTTTTTCGTTGCCCGTACCAGGTGGATTTACTTCCATTTCACGATAACTAGGCAAACTGTGGAGGCTAGTGCCCCGCGACCCAATAAGAACGTCGGAGTGAGGCACGTGATCCGACGTCGCAGGAGATTTTGTAACCACGCCAATTGCGAGGCCCAGAGGAACCGGCTCTTATATTTGTTATTTATTCTTCATATCTTCAAGTTATACGTGGAATCACGCAAGTTGACATTCAAAGAAAAAGGAGCCTAGAACTACTCTTTGTCGCAGAGGGCCCTGTTGATGTGGTGGTAATGAGGCCCCGGTGGCCTCGGCCATGGAGTCATCACGTGCCTTGATCCGGTGCCCTTATTGGGTTGAGGGGGCCACAGCCTCCACAGTTCGCCAAGTTATCGTGAAACGGAGCACAGGAGCGAGAGTAAGTGAAAAACATCTATACTATACACGTTTGCAAGTCCGGCTTCAGGGCGCTGCCATCTTGCTCAGCTGGGATGCGCTTGGACACTTCGTAATCCGATTACGAAACCTTGCTGAAGTGTCGTGATCAGATTATGGCCTCGCCCAAGGGCGCCTCAACTGAGCAACATGGCGTCGCCCTGAAGCTGGACTTGCAAACATGTATTAGCCCCGAGAAATTCGCGTGGCGCCCCCTTACGGCGAACCGGGGTGATGTCACGGCGAGGACCAGAGGTTTTCCCCCACTCGCGCCGATCACCCTGTGGAGGCTGTGACAAGGTTAGCTGTCTGCGCGCTTCGTTTCTATTAAATTTTTTGTGCGTGTTTTTTGTAGGAAGCGTAAATTTTCACATGTGGCTTTATCGAGGTATGGCCTGCAGCTGCAGGCAAAACTTACCAACATTGCAAGCCTGGTTGACGGGGCAGGCAACGTATGAATCGCAGCTGGTGTACGAAAATAAAGAAATGGGGCCACAATTGCAGGAGCATCACTATATATTTATATCTCGCACAATAAATGCTGTTGATTACCTGAATGTATTGGCAGGTTATGTATACTATTTCGTGTCTTTTTTTTTTTTGTATCTCTATTTTTAAACAAGATCGCCGAAGCAAGAAAGCTGCAAGCTGTTCGAGCAACATGCTAAATACAGTCGGGGCCATGGAGAGAGAATCACAAGTGAGGCAGCCCAAGTACAGGGGCAAAGTAAACAAAGAAGGAACATTTATTTATAAACATTGCTCGCATTTGACCTTTGCTGGATTCCAATAGTATTTCAATGGACTCCACTGGTGGTATCTGTGGGCTTGTTTATATCATTCCTCAAGTAATGTACAACAAATGTAAGCCAAGGTGTCTAGCTCGTTATTAGTCCCTTAGGCTCCAAAATTGAGATTTTAGCTAAATCAAATTATTCTGAAGCTAAAATACCAGAAGCTTTAATCACGCAAACAGTCGCCCTTCACAGGTTTCACGATTTCTCCTACTATTGCAGCATCTACCACTAAACAGCCGTCCGAATGCTTGGTGTTCCTCCTGTTTTCCTCTGTTGTGAGAGAGTCGCTGTAGGGAGCTGGCAGGCTGAGGAAGTTTTGGGGGACTTGCAGCAGTGTCTCTTTTAATTTGAAATGACAATTTAAACTGAACAGTGTACTTTCCGAATACCCAAGGCTGAAATAAAGAAAGAATGTCAGGAAAAAGTATAAACATTCCAAATTACGGTACTGTTGCTGTGCATATTTTGGACAGTTCAATACATCTCGTACAGGCAACTGGGGGCAGTTCGGCCGTTTTCCCTGCTGCCATACAAACTCATTCCCAGTAATTGTGCATCTTTTAAAAAATAAAATATACCTGCATACGCATCTGAATTAATTCACGAAGAAGCTACCTTTATGTAAAACAACCCTGTTCTACAAGCACCTCAAAGGCCTTCAGACCCAGGGCCTTTAAAACATCTGCGATTCAGCGCAAGCAAAGTGGCATGCGCGGAGTCGGGGCCGCGAGCTAATTTGCCGACCCCCCAAAAGCCCTTGATAAAAAAAAAACAAAAAAAAAACATTTCAAATGCTTGCAAAGTGGTATGTAAGATTCTTCTAAATCATGAACATGCAAGGAATAGAATTCCAGCGTCTGAAACACTTACTCCGCCGCTTCACCGACCCCTCGCAAGATTGCCTTGTGTCGTGTGAACGGACGGAGAGGTTCATCGGCGGAATTTCCACCGCCGATACCTTTCGGGATTTGTAACCCAGTTATAAAGGTAGAAGTGACAAGCAGGCTCATAAAATGTACGGAAGCATGTCAATATCGGCCTACCCCAGCGTTTTGTACACAGGGTAAACGAGGTACCGCTCCTTGAAGTGCTTGGGGCACACAACTCCAAACCAACACACCGGTGCAGGGAAGCAAGCCGGATGCGAGATTGCAGAGCGGAGTCGTGGAATCCTTCCCCTGACGTCACGGTATACCTCACCCAATCAGGGTGCGGCGACCGCAGCGACGCTTGTGTTCGCTCTCGGGGCTAATAGACTGTTTTACTCTGGGTAGCGCCATTTTGAATACCGCTGCGCCATCTAGCGAGTGTCAGGTTCCGCGGACCGTGCCGAGTGGTTAGAAAGTCAAAAGTGCTCTTCTGGGTGCCGCTCCCGCGTTGGATGTGCTGGTTGGGTGCTTCGAAGTGCTGGGAATCGGACTTGGGTGCGTCTTGTAATCTTGCGTCTTGCGAATGGAGTTTTTGAAATTGATGCCAAAAAGAGCGGCACCGAATGCGCCATTGATAGAAATTGGAGGCATGTACTCAAAATATTCTTTCAGTTTACAGCCATGGAATTTTTGGTTATTTTAGATTTAGTACACCGAGAATATCTTTGCATCTTTTGTCATCGACGACTATAAAATATAATGTGAACAGGGACGCTTGAAATAAGAACATTGCAGGGAATGATCGAAAGAAGCTCCCTCTGGCTTG